GAAACAAAGGTTAAATGAAATATTAAGAGTGGGACCCTCATTCAATAGCACTGGTGTCCTTCTGAGAAAAGGAAGAGGCACCAGAAAAGCATCCATGCAAAGGAGAAGGCCACGTGAGGGTATAGAAAGAAGGCCCCCAAAGGCAAGCTAAGGAGAGATTCCTCACCAGAAACCCGTCCTGCTGGCACCTTTATCTTGAACTTCCAGCCCCCAGAACTGTGAGAAAACAAATTTCTGTCGTTAAAGCCCCCATGTCCGTCTTGTTCTTCTATGGCAGGAAAGCTGACTTAACAACCTGCGCAAATACATAAATGATGAATATAGTCAGATGCTAAATTGCAAATTTGTACTAAAAATGTAACTTTTCAAAAATTGCCTACTTATATTTGTTGGTCAGCACATTCTTCTTCTGTAAGTAAAACTACATGGGAATCAAAGAAAATTATAAGGTAGTTTGATGACAGAGGACTCTGAGCAAGGAAGTTTGTTGGGTAGTACAAATGGCCAGTGTAACATGAGCATGCCTGTGGGATCTAACGTGCTCGTTTCACCTATAGACCCAGAGTCCTTGCTGCGTGTGTGTAAATGTGGGCCATCTCCTTGCCTGAGTGCCGGAGGTGGCCTCAATCTGCCTTCCTGACTTTTCCTTTGTGGACACCACCCCTTTTCATGTTATTCCTTTTGGGTGGACTTGCTCTGACTCTTTTGGATAACTACTTTGATCCTTTCTGTGACTGTTTTATGGTGTAATTCACAAACTTTCAAGTCCTTCCAATGGGCGTGGTACATACACTGGGCTGATAAGTGGCCAGGACATAGTGCGGCTTGTTGCCATCGACTCTGCCCTTCTGATTAGTCGATACCTGTGCTGTGTCAGTTGCTAAGCATTTTAACCGTCAATCTCTGGCCATATAATTAATGTAAAATATGAAAAGAAACTGACCAGGATAAACTGTTCAATCAGCCTTCCATGGAGCAGATTGGGCTATTTGAGAACTGTAAAAAGGATACTTATTTCCCAAAATGACAGCCTCGTCAGTCTATTATAGGGCATAAAATCCAGTCACCACAGTTGCTCCTTAATGAGTTTAATCATATTTATCAGAAAGGATAATCAATATATCTAATATTTAGAGCTTACCTACTGTGTGCCAGGTACTGGTAAACTCTTTAAAATGGAGCATCACATTAATCATCACAAGAAGCCTACTATGAAGAAGGCCCTATTATTACTGCCATTTTATAGGTTAATTGATTTAACATTATCGGCAAATAAAGAAGGAAAGTAGAGAATTATACCCTAAGATTAACCACTGTGTTTAGGGCAAACAAGTTACCTTGGCCTTCAAGATCCTGTATGATCTAATCATTTTTTGGAACTTGTCACACATATTCTCTTCCTTGCTTGCTTTGTTCCTAAGAAACTGGACCCCTATTCTAGATCACACAAAGCTTTTTCCCGGGTCCTTCCTAGAGGAAAGACTGGACCCTTTACCTGGAATGATCTTTACTCATATTTTTACATGACTGGCTCCTACCCTTACTGTGTTTTTCTCTTCCACATACTTGACACCCTGTTCCACCACATACTGGGGGTCATTTTCATCACAGCAGGTAACTCTCATAGTTTGGAGTTACTTGTGTGCTTATTTATTTTCTATATCATCCCACTAGAATGTAAGTTTCATGAAGGCAGGGACCTGGTCTCTCTCATACATGGCTGTGACACTGGCACCTAAGTACTGGGTCTTCCATACATTAGGTACTGAACAAATACGTGCTAAATGCCAAAGGAGTATCTGTTATGATCTATCAAACTTCAAAGATCTATATAATAAGACTTGGAGGGCAAGTTTTGATGGAGGGAGAGATTTCAGAGCCTGAGTAGACTCTGTGGTGGGATTCATTATCAGAGTGGGTATTCTGGGCTCTCAGTGCACATAGTCACTGAGATATGGGCCTGCCAAGTGGGTGGGAATTCTAAAGTGGAAGAGAAAAGCCCCTCAAATTTCAGTTAACTGATCCTTTCACATATGACATTAGTATATAACTAACTTTGTTCTGAAAAATACTGCTGATAGTTTGTTTCTTTCTAACTACTAGGCTCTACCAACAAGAAAATATTAAGAATTTACTATATGTAAAAAAGTCCTCCTAGGCAATGATGGTGGTAAATAAAGTAAGTAGGACTTCTATGAAACTTGGGAGAGAAAGGAATCATGGCCAAATGAAGTGACTAGGAAGGTCTTGTGAGGGAGATAGGACTGGAGCCAGGCACTGGGACAAGGGGAGAGCTGAACCAGATGGAGGTGAGAGGTATGATCAAAAGCAAGGCCTCATAAACATGCACGGTGTATCTGGGGATTGTAAAATACTAGTTGGCAGGGAGTGGACCTTGAATATGATGTTGAAAAATTTGGATTTTATCTTAAATTCAGGATGGACTGCTAATGAATTAACATTAATATTTCTGAAAGTGAGAGAAGAAACGAGTAAGAAGCAAGAGGCAGCCCATGGCTGGAAAAGGAGTCCATCCGTTTCCAACGGTTGGATATCATTTGGGCATATGCTGTCTGGGTCATAGCTGTCTCAACCCTCTTCTTGGCAGAAGAAACCAAGAAAAAGGGGCTGCATGTCATAGACTGAGAGGTCGAGTCTGTTGCACCCTCATCAAACTTGGAGTGATTGAGAAAGCTGTGAAAAATATTTCTTTTCAGTTTTATTAAAAACTAATTTGTACACAAATGCCTAGGGTGCCTAAATGGTTTTCTTGGCTTCACTGGAGATGGATGGTAATTATAGATTTGCTTTGTTTATGTCACCCTATTCCTATTATGTTAATATGTGTGTGCAAATTAGTTAGTAGTTTAAAACCTATACATACTTAAGGTACTATACAAGAAGATATGTCAAAGAAATAATCAATCCTCCCATGTTTCCTTCATATGCTACATCTATAGCTTTTCTTCTTCCTTCCTAAT